GACCAGCGCGGCGGTGCTGGGGCTTTCCGTTTCTCCCAGCTTTGGACGGTCTGGCTTCGCCGAGCCTGCTCGGGCGCCGAGGAGATGGCGGAGCAGAGGTACTGCGTGGACTATGCCAAGCGCGGCACCGCGGGCTGCAAGAAGTGCAAGGAGAAGATCGTGAAAGGAGTGGTGCGCATTGGGAAGATCGTCCCCAACCCCTTCACGGAGTCTGGAGGGGACATGAAGGAGTGGTACCATGTGAAGTGCATATTTGAGAAGCTAGAGAAGGCCCGGGCCACCACCAAGAAAATTGAAGACATCACAGACTTGGAAGGATGGGAGGAGCTACAAGATCAGGAGAAGGAATTAATCAACAAGCACATCTCAGGTGAGGCACAAGGCAGAGCCTGGGTCACTTTCCTGCTTTACTGGTGTCCAGGGTGCACCACTGCACTGCAGCTGTCCCTTTACCACAAAATCCTCACTGATGTGGTCGTGTGACCTGGTGACAGAGGGGGTGGTGCTGCTCAAATCCATGTCTCACCCCTGGAGGAAAGGGAATGAGAGTCACTTCTACAGGGACACTTCTTAATTTGTTTGTCACTACTGATTAGGGAGCAGTTCTAGGGGATTTAATTCATGTGCAGACACAGGCAGATAAATCCCAGGAGCAGGCATTGGTTATTTTCCATTTCCAGCTTTTTTTCCCCATGATCTTTAGTTAAGTTATGTCATCTTTTAACTTTTGATCTCTGAAAAATGTTCCTCCTTTGTTTTTTTTTCTTCTCCATCCACTGTTGTTTTAAGACTTATAAATTGTGTTGAGATGTTTTCTGACTGCTGTTTTGGAACTTCCTGTTTTACAGAAGCTAATTCCAAGTCTTCAGGCACACCGAAGAAGAAGGTGATAGTCCAAGCTAAGATCACTGCCACAGGACAGATAACTACAAAAGATCCTTTAGCTCTCATCACTCCATCACCAAAGAAGTTTTCTGGCTTCACAGGTGGGATTTAAGAAGGTGATTCTGGGAAATCCTTCTCTCTGGTATCAGCATCAGAGGTGCTTTATCTTGTCAGACTGACTCCACTACTGCCAATTTCAGTTAAACTGGGCAGCTATAAACTAATGAGCCACCCGAGCACGTGTGGCCACATCCACAGCCAGGGAGATGAGAACCTGTCAGGGTGTTGGCATTAGGACAGGAGATGGGATGGGGACGTTTTTCCCTCAGTGTAGAAATGATTTTAGGGAAACATCTTGCTGTGAAGGGCAAAGGGCTGTAAAGCAGAAGTGAAACAGAACCATCTGCCAGAAGGAATTACTTTTCACAGAAGTTTGATCATGTTTGTCTGGTAGAGTTAGGACCCAGAAAATTCTAGTGTACTGTGAAGAGCAAAACTAATGAAATACTAGTTTATAGTATTTGTTTTTATGGTAATTAAAATTTAAAGTCACAGATGTGCTGGGACCAGTCCTGTTTAACAT